GTTGTCTGGGTGAGCATGTGCCTTCCTTTCTGATCCCCTGTCCTAAATGTTCCTGGCTGGGAACAATTAATCTCTTTGCTTCAGAAAAGAGAAAACAAAGAAAACCTGTGGTCTACCCGGTTCCCAAGCTTATGGCATCAACTCCAGGCTTCGCATCTGGCAGGAAAAACAGATGCTATGGTCAGCCCTAGACCTCCAGCTTCATTCCCCAAGGAAAGTGAAGAGCACAGTTATGATTGTGCTGCCTGGGGAACAGCCGTCTGCTTGCAAAGCTCCTCCAGCCTGCCCAGGTAGCAGGGGAATAGGGAGCCCTTTTTGCACTTGTAAGTCCCTGTTTTCAATCTGGGTAGAGCCAGTCATGACAGAAAGGCTTTATCAGGCAACGGTTGTTTTTTTGGCTTCTATGTAAAGGGCTGCTTGGTTTTTGTGGGAGTAGCGTCTGAAGCACAAGAAATGGGGCGTCTGCCCACAACTGGAATCCTCGCTTGAAGTCTCAGATGTGAGGCCAAGGATAAAATTGGAACGAAACTTATGTTCCTGCCTGCTGGCTCCTCCAAACAGCTGCAGGCACAGTAGGACGGCCAGGTATAAAAGCCTGAACTGGCACAGCCTCTTTGTGGAGAGGGAATGCTAAACCACAAGGTGTGTTGCTCTGTGCTTCCACCCAGAGCTGGCTGGCAGATGCCAAGATGCCGAGAGGCAGCAGGACACCCCCCTGACAGGACAGCCTGCCCGCTCGGGACAGCCTGGCTTAGCAGGGCCATGGACTGCATAACTGTGATACACTATGGGTGTCACCGGTCACAACAACACACCACATCATGTGCTACCTGCAGCTGCAACACTCCCTTTTCCAAAACCGAGAGCCAGAGAACTCCCCCACAGCACCTCAACAGCAAACACACCATTTGTGCCCTTTGCATGTGGAGAATCATGTATTAGTGAGGTTTATTAAGATGGGAAGTATGCACGCAGCCAGGCCCAGCTGGGGAATGAGGGGCTTCCAGAGGGGTTGCTCCAAACCCCTCTCCAGTGACGGCAGAGTGCAGTAACGTACAGGGTTACCATGCTCTGCTGGTGCACAGCTGTACCTCAGGTATGGGGGAAGCCAAGATATGGGCAAACCAGCTGCGTGTGTTTAACTCGAGTGTATCTCAACCGAAGACAGGCATACATGAACACGTGTTAGCTCTTTGCGATAGTAGGCAAGTTCCGTTAGATCACATCTTGACTGTGATGAGGCCTAGAGAAGCTGAAGGTGTCCTGCAAAAAGAAAGCCATTTTAGGAAGCATGCCAGCTGTGGGACAACACCTGTATTTTGCCCTGGTCCTCTGCACCCATCCATTACTTCAAGCCTACTGCTTCTTTGCAGGGAGCTGCAGGCTTTAAACCCTGAGGCCAGGGCACACGTCACCTGCTGCAACGGCAGTCTGGGAATGGAAACCAACCCAATAATGCAGAGTCACACAGGTCCTTGTCCATCACAGCAGACCTGGGAGCACGTCAGTTTCTGACCTCAGAATCATAGAATCACAAGATGATTTGTGTTGGAAGGGACCTTAAGACTCATTCAGTTCCAACCGCCTGCCACAGGCAGAGACACCTCCCACTAGACCAGGTTGCTCAAAGCCCCGTCCAACTTGGCCTTGAACACTGCCAGGGATGGGGCAGCCACAGCTTGTCTGGGCAACCTGTACCAGGGCCTCTTCAGCCTCATGGGGAAGAATTTGTTCTTAATGCCTAATCTAAAACTCCCCTCTTTCAGTTTAAAACCATTTTTACCTTCGTCCTGTCCCTACATACCTTTGTAAATGGTCGCTCTCCAGGTTTCTTGTAGGCCTCTGTAGGCACTGGAAGGCTGCTGTAAAGTCTCCCTGGAGCCTTCTCTTCTGCAGGCTGCACAACCCCAACTCTCTCAGCCTGCCTCTGAATCAGAAGTGCTTCAACCCTCTGGACATCCTCATGGCCTCCTCTGGACTCGCTCCAACAGGTCTTCATCCCTCTCTTGTTGGGTCCCCAGAACTGCACACAATACTCTAAGTGGGGTCTCACAAAAGCGGAGCAGAGGGGGAGAATCTCCTCCCTTGACCTGCTGCTGGTCACGCTCCTTTTGATGCAGCCCAGGATACAGTTGGCTTTCTGAGCTGCGAGCACACACTGAAGCCAGCTCATGTTCAGTTTCTCATTGACGCGCACCCCCAAGTCTTTCTCCACAGGGCTGCTCTCAATCCATCCTCACCCAGCCTGTAATTCTGCTTGGACACAATTTTCTGTCCTTCTTGCTTTTGCCTCCCCAGGATACCCAGGCCCTTCGCCACACCTGGGCTGCTGCTGCTGTGCAGGGAACAGGTAGTGGGAAGAGGAGTGGGGACTTCAGCTCTCCTCTGTCAGGGTTCATCTAGCACCATGAGTAACCTCCGTTCAGGGGATTTTTGTAGCTGCTGTCGGTTTGGGCTTGTTTTCTTCTGGCAGAAGCAGGTTAAGAGTGGATCGCCTGATGCTGGTTTGTTTTTAGGTAGCTGCTCTTTCAATGTTATCATTATAGATGAACATATTATATCATCGTTACTAATTTTTGTATTATAGGAAGATACATTTATTTGCCCTTTAAGTAAAGTGTATTGGGATTTTTTTCTGTTAAAAAAAAATAAAGACAAAAAGCAAACACAGCAGAAAACCACATTCCCCTCTATTTTGTGCCTCATTTTTGAGTCTTGCAATGAGTGATGTGGGCAAGATGGAAAGCAGGTAGGGAGAGCACAAGCACACAAGCTCCCTGGATAGCGGAGGTGGCTGAGCCCAGATGAAACATGGCAAACCACAAGCACAAGGATACTACCCGCCCAGTGTGAAAAACTCCCTTTTTTCAGCTCAGTAAGTAAACGAAAGATGGGAGGTGGGAGAAGGAAAAGAAAATCAATACTGAAAAAGAACAGAAAATGTTGAAGGTTCTTCCACTAAAATCAAGGTAGGAAAGATCTAACTGGGGAGAGAGCAAAACAATTCATGTAATATTTTTTTTTTTTCTGCAATGACACATTTTGTTCAAGCCGTTTACATTGTAAACATTTTCTTTGTAACTTTAGTAAGTTTTTTTTCTTTGTAACCTTAATAGAAGTTACAAAGAAGACAGTAGGAATCGCTTTCAAAATAAATTAAAAAACAAAAAAACTTAAAATGAAAAGTTGAAAGCACCAAAATGCCACCAGGAGATGTTGAAACAAAACATGTTGACATTTCTAAAGTGGAATGTTTTCTTCTGCAAAGGAAACTCAGTGTTTCTTCAGGGCTGTTTTTTTTCCAGCTGAAGCTACTTGGGTGTGCGGCAGGGTATGGATGTCGGAAAACTTCGTTTTCCAGTTAATTTCCCTACTTAAGGAAGCCCGGGCCAGCTTCGTATCTGACGCGCAGCGGCAGCGGGTGTCAGCGCTGACTCCCGAGGACACGCACAGACACACACACACATCGTTAGCGCTTCCCCTTGCAGTCAAACGCCTCGAAAGAAACTCGGTCAGACCCACTTCCAAAGCATAGCAGCTAAGGAACGGGCCGTATCCTTCCCCTGGCGCGGAAACACGCACCGCTGCACCAGGGAAAGCAAATCCTCTCCCTCCACTGTGGGCACGTACAGCCCGGCTTGCGACCTCCATGTCCCTGTCCCCCCTTCCTTCCCTGTGGGGCTGCCCCCATCCTTCCCCGCGGGCCTGCAGCAGCGGCAGGCCGTGGCCCCGCTCCGTCGAGGGGAAGAAAGCTCCCGCCGCGGAACGGAGATAGAAGAAACACACATGGAACTTGAGCCGCGGCGAGGCTCAAGCGTCCAGGCGTGCGCACATCTTGCGCGTACGCGTGACCGGCGGCGGGAAGGATGCGGAGGGAGGGAGAAAGGAGAGAGCAGGAGGGAAGCGAGGAGGAGGCTGCCCGCGCCTATTGCATCAGTCGGGGCGGCCCCATCTTCAGCGCCGGGGCGGGGCGGGGCCGGGACAACACCCCACACGGGCCGTTCACTGCGCAGAGTTCGACCGTTTCTCCATTCTCTTCGCCGCCCCCCACCCTCCCGTGTTTTCTTTTCCCGTCCCGGCTAGGCGTGGGGAACGGCGAAGGGAAGCGGCGGGGCAAGGTTGCCTTCAGGCCGGCCGAAGAGGAAGAGCTACGAGAAGGGGAGGAGGAGGAAGGGCGGAGGAGTAGAATTCAAACGCCGCGTCCCGCCGCGCAGGCGGGAGGCCCGGCCCGGCCCCGCGCCACCTTAAATCCTCCTTCCCCCCTCCTCCCCCCCATCACCCCGTCACCCCCAGTGCGGGCCGCTTCCTCTGGGGGTACGCGACGACGAGCCCCGGTCTCCCCGCACCCCTCAGCCGCCCCGGGGCGGGTCTGAGTGTATTGTTCCTCTCCCCGCGAGAGGCTGTGGCGGGAGTGTGCAGAGCTCTTCCCCCCCTTCCCGGCTGCGCGCGTCCCCTCGGCCACCGCCAGCGGGAGGAGGCGCGGGGCGGGCGGTGCCGCTCCCCCGGGGTGGTGCGATCGTGGCGGGTGCGGCCTCAGGTGAAGGAAGGAGCGAAAATAACAACAGAAATGACGAATAAAGCCAACAACGCGGGTGTTGCTGCAGCCGCTACGGCTGGGAGGGGGAGGGGGGGTCTCGGAGAGCAGACCCAAACCCCGCATGGTGGCGCAGCGGCTGGACCCCGGCCGCCGCCCTCACACACACCTCCCTCCCCCGGCCCAGTGTAGGGGTACCGGCGCCGGCACCGGCCGTATCCCGTTCAGTCCCCGCGCCCCACCCGCCCGCCGGCGTCGGGAGGGGAGGGAGGTTTCGCTTGCGCCGGCCGCTGGGATAGGCCGGCTCTGGGAGGCGCTGCTGTTTATTTTCCATCATGATCACTTTGTTCGTGTTGGGAGGGGGGGCGGGGGGGACGACAAACCCACACTTTTTTATTATTTTTAATTTTCAAGGCGGCTTTCCACGTTCACCGGCCCCAGTTTCAGAGGCGCATACACACACACACGCCCCTGTATTTCCCCCAGCCATGGGGAGGCCTGGAGTCAAACCGGGAGCGGGAGGAGGGCGCGCACGGTGCTCAGCGATCCTTCGCAGCCGAAGGAGGAGAAGTCCACCGCAAACGCTGCCCGTTCCCGTTCCCACTTCCCGGGTGCCATCTGCCCGAGCCGGGGCTGGGGCCGAGGCTGAAGAGGGGCTGGTGAGCGAGGGGTAGTCGCTGCCCCTCTCCGTCCCTCCCCAGCGCAAGGCCGGCACAACCCCGTGTTTTCGGGGCGGTTTCAGAGCGAGAACGAGCGAACCCGGACGCTGCCGGGATAAACAACAGGATCGCGTTGCATCGGGAAGGGCGGGGGGAAACGAGACCAGGGCGAGCGCTGGGTGAGACGCACAGGGTCGTGTCCGCCCCCCTTTCTCCCCGTTTTACGTGTTTATTTATGTATCTCCACACCACGGGGATCACTTCCCCCGGTGCCATCCCTTCTCTCTGGCCGTGACCGCCTCCCCCGGCGCTGCTCAGTGGGGCGGGGAGGGGGGGGTAACACGTCGATGGTGCTGGACCCCGGTGGCGGCGCCGGTCGGAGCAGCCGGGCTCGAGGGAGGAGGAGGGGAGTAACGGGAGGGGGGGGGTGGGGAGAGGGTGAGGGGAGGCGGCTGCCTTGCCGGTGCCTGCACCAGCATCTGCCGGGACAAGGGTGTGCGAGGCGCCATCTTTGTTAGCAATAAACGGAGGAGAGGCACAGCGTTTGCGTGCGAAACGGCGGCGGAGAGCCGGGTGTGTGTGTGTTATCGGGAGATCCCCCGGGAAAACAGGATCCCCCGGGAAAACAGGAAACGGAGATACGGTGTCTCTCCCGTCCAGATCTGGCAGCGGTCCGGCCTGGGAAGGTGCGAATTTGCGGTCGAATTTTAAGCCTTAGCAGTCGGAACGAGAGAATGCAAGAGATACCTCGAGCTACGTGTTTGTCAAAAAGAATTACAAGGAAATGCCACCCTTCTGCATATTGCTTCCAGTTATCAGAGGAGAATCGCAGAACTATTCAAATAGGAAAAGACTTTTAAGATCACCGAGTCCAACCATAAACCCAGCACTGCCAAGTCCACCACTAAACCATGTTCCTAAGCGCCACATCCACACATCTTTCAAATGCCTCCATGGATGGTGGCTCCACCGCTTCCCTGGACAGCCTGTTCCAGTGCTTGACGACCCTTTCGGTGAAGAAACGATAGCGTGGCACTAACGGTGAAGAGAGCGAGCTGCGTTCCTTACTTCCACCTGCGCTGCAGACACGAAAGAGATAGATACGCAGAGAAAACTTGCTGTTATTTCTTGACGGAACCTTATTTCTTCCTGTGCCAGGCCGAGGGAGGTTGAAACACACACTAACGAAGACCATATTTCTTATATATGGCAGTTTTCTTTATTGATTGCTTGATGTGAAACAGTATCAATCTGGATTTTTTTTCCCACACATTACAAAAAAAAAAGAAAAAAAAAGAAAAAAAAAAGAAAAAAAAAGGAATTAAATTGGCTCAGTCTGCAATCCTTTAAGCACAGCCATAGTCTGTATCAGAAAAAGGATCCCCCCCAAAAAAATAAACAAAAAAAAAAACCACCTGAAAGTCTACCAAATAGAGCATTTACAAATGCACAAAAACATGCCACTTTGGCTTTATGGGGAAAAATATTGTCTTCTAGATTAAAAAAAAAAATCTTTTAACATAAATAAGTTAGTATAATTTCTCAGTGTCTTTACAGAGTTATGTACACAGGTACACTTCAAACTTTTTTTGTTTTATTTTTACATACAGGTACACAGGCAATGTAGAAATACTGTTTAAAGATGTAGTATCCCTTTTCCCTCACACACAAACACTTTGGGAAGTGGGTCAGATCAGAAAACAACAATATCCAGGATTCAGAGGTAAAGCCCTCCAGATAAGGGTTTTTAAAAACAAAACAAAACAAACTTAAAACCAACCAAATAAAAAAAAAAAGGCACAAAACCCATACACATCAAAACAACCCAAAAACATCCATTCTCCCCCCCCCCCCAAAAAAAAAAAAAAAACAACCAAAAACAACCCAGGAAATCAGGCAATGTAACAAGGGGATGATGTTGCACAACTTTTACAGGCATTCAAATTTGCTGCATGGATTTGGGCGGGGGGAAAAAACGTTTGCTACTACATAACGGAATCATCACAGCTCCCACCTCTTAAGTTTAACGGAGTAGAAAGGTATTTCACAAGAGGCCTGTAATAATAGGCTCTGAGCAGGGTTACCACGATGGTCCATTAAAAAAAAAGGGGGGGGGGGAGGACAAAAATAGGGCAGACCCACTTAAAGGGACAATACATCTTTAAGTAAGTATAAAAAAAAAAAACAAAAAAAAACAAAAACCCAAAACCTACACTGCTTCTCTTCATACATTTCTCGGCTTGCTAGATTGTGAAAGCAAGTTCAGATCGGTCACCCTCTTCCACTCCCTCCCCCCTCCCAACAAGGTTTATGTGCTACATAAGGTAACAACTATATACACAGGTAGTACAATGAAGCAAATAAGGAAACACCTAATTGCACAATGCTACATCCAATGCTTTTAGAGGCAGGTCTTTTAAGAGTGCCTAAAATTTTAGTGTTATTGTTTGCTTTTTTTTGTTGCTGTTGTTGTTGGTTTTGTTTTGTTGCTGTTCTTGGCTGGTTGGTTTTTTGTATTTTTGTTACTTTTTTTTTTCTTTTCAGTGCTTGTACAGGACCTCCATCCCACTGAGATCGGCGATATGTATTTTCATTTCCAACTACGCCTTTACATCTCCCTCGCTTCATCGCCGTACCCGACGAACGAGGACACGCACATCCTCCGCTCTGCAACGGGACAGAGAAGGGAAGAAGAGAAGATGACGGGGAGGGAGAGAAGAAAGCGGTTAGAAAACACCGAAAAGAAACGCGATCCAGGGCGCAACCGGTTCAAACCGACACGGCATCCCCGGGGCGGGCTAGCCCTGCCCCGCCGCCCGCCCCCCGCCCCGTTCCCGGGGCCCCGGTCCAGCCGCCCCTGGATCCTTCGGCATGATCCCCCTCTCCAGCCAGGGGCTCGTGTCCGTCATCGTCGTGTCCCGGGTACCCCCCCTCCCGGCCCCGAACAAGCGGTCGGTAGTAGCGGCATTGGCACGGCCGCGCACAGGGCAGCGCTCCGGGCACGGCTCGCCCCAGCAGGACTAATTGGTTGCAACTTCTGCTTTTATAGCTTAATAATCTCTTTCTGCAAAATCGCAACCCGTTGTTTGTAAACCTCCCTCCTAACTTCGGCTCCCAAACCCGCCGGCGCAATTTACCAACTAACTCCCTCCTTCCCCTCCCTCCACCCGCCCCTGCCCTCGCCTTAAAACAAAACAACAACAAGGGAGGAAGACAAAAAAAAAAAAAAAAAAAAAGAAAAAGGGGGAAAAGAAAAAAAAAACAGAAACCAGCTCCCGTTAACCCACTCTCTTCCCTCTGCCAGCGACAAAAAAACAACCCAAAACAACGGGGGGGGAGGGGGGAAGAGTAAAAAAAGGGGAGGAAAAAACCCCAACATCTTGCCTAGCTTGAGTTTTTAACAAAAGTGCCCGGATTCCCTCTCATACGCAACTTCTTGACCGATTTCTCCCCTTAGACCCAACTTCTTGACCCTTTTCTCCAGGGGTGGGAGGTCACCGCGACGTCCGACGGCAACGCGGACATTGTAGGTGAAATAGCATAGGGGGGTGGTGCGGGGGGCTGGTAACGGGACATGGACACGACACGGGAAGCCCCCCGAAATCCCTTGTCATCTGACATTATACACCAGCCGAGTTTGAAACTCCGTCCCTCGGGAAAGGGCGGTCCCCGTCCCGGAGGAAGGAGGGAAAGAGAAAGGCAGCGCTGGTCTATCCCAGCCCCAGCCCGGGCTAAATCGAATAGTCCGGCGCTGCGCTTCGCCCCTTGTTTTTTGTTCTCTTAAAGCCCTGCGCGTTCCACCCCTCCTCCAAACACCCTCGTCCCCAAGCGCTTGGGGAAAGCCATCCTCCCTCGGAGGGACGACCCCGCAGCCAGCCCAAAGGGGCCCGAAGCCCCCCCCCCCTCCTTTGCAGAGGGGGAGGACACCCGCTCGGTCACTCTTTCTTCCCCTTATTTGCATCATTTGCATCCTAAGGCAAGCGCCTACAGGGCACCCACCTAAACGGTTTACGTTTGATGTCTTCTCGGGGTTGATTTCTTGGGTGTTTGCTCCACTGAATTGGCACTGGGGGAGGCTTTTGAAACCCCTTCTTCTGTTGTGTTGGCTCTTTTATTTTGAGGAGAGGAATCTAAGAGTGGAAAATTAGAAACAAAGGGGGGGGGGGGGAGCGATATTAAGATATTTTCCTTCCAGATGTTTGCTCGGCGCTGGAGAAGGGGGGGGAGATAGGTGGGGCCAAAGGGTAATATCCCCCCACCCCCATGTCAGCTATCGGCTACGTGAACGGGAACAGGGGGAGGGGAGATGAGCTCCTCTCTAGGTAAGGGACCAAGTTCCCTATTTTTGGCTAAAATCCCTGGCTGTCTTTCACTTCACCCGAGCGCTCCGAACCTCCTTCTGTCTGGGCAGGAGGCCGGGTCCTCCCCGAGGGACAGACGGGGAACGAGGGGGTCTCCGTCTAAAGGCTTTTCCTGCCGAATCATGTACCGGCTCCCACTTAACGCGGACACCCCCCGCTCCCCCAACCCCGGGACTGCGAGCAGCACCTGGGCTTTCACAGGCGAGAGGAGGCGGGGGGCATGGGGGCTCACGAAATCGGTGCCCAGCGGGACACAGCCCACGGCGGTCCAGGCCACGCGTGGCACGGGCGAGGGGGCCGGGAGCCCCGGCGCTGACAGCAGCCGGGCAGGCGGAGAAAAGCGGTGCCGCTCTCGCAGGGAGGGGTACGTTACCATCGGTGGCAGGTCTTTTCCTCTGCCCAGTGCACTGCTCTGCAAAGTCCGTCTGATTTTCAGAAACATCAGTCTTTTGACCTACACAGTGAGTGTCCTCTGAGATTCCCTGAGAACCGACAAAAACCACGGTCTGGCAATTCCCGTTTACATCCAAGCTCTGGCGGCCGGCGGACTTGCAGACAGCTTTCAGTAGCCTGGGGGGTCTGAAGTAGAAGTCGGGCGAGCTCCCCTTCTCCACAGCTTGCCACTCGTACCTGCCTTCCAACGGCTTGTGATTCTGGAAATCGAAATTCCACTTCCTCTGGCATGCCTCCTCCATCTCCTGGCGGTGCTTCTTCAAGTCCCTGTTTAACTCTTCGTGATTCACCGGCCCGAAGAGGTTCCTGCAAGCTGACGGCTTCGGGTACTCCGACTGCCTGGCTTCCATGCGCTCCAGCGTAGGGCTTCCATTAGAAATACGGACGTTTGACATCTCCCCCCACCCTCTTTCTTCTGGCGGCGGTTGTTTTGCTCGCTGCTCTCCCCCCTTTCCAGCCGCCACCGCCTCCTTCTCCTCCTCTCTGCCTTTTATTCCCGGGCGCTGCTCTTCGACTCTCCTCCGCGTCTCCTCTCCTCGCTGCCCCGCTCACCGGCCCCGCCTCGGCCCCGCTCGCCCTCGGCCCGCGGAGAAGGGGCGAGGAGGAGCCCTTGCATAAGCGCCGGCCCAGAGGGGAGCCCCGAGAGCCGCCGCCGGAGCCGCCGGCGGGGAGCCCCGGGCGGGTGGAGAAGCGGAGCGGTGCGCGGTCCTCCGCGGCTCCGGCTCTGCGCTGCCCCGCCGGTGGTTGGTGGCGATGTCTCCGCCGCTCGCACAGCCGCCGCCTCGTAGTAAAAGCGAGACGGAAAAAAACAAGAGGAGACGAGCCCTTTTCTCGGTTGCCCAATATGGCGATTGAAGGGAGGCTGACGAAGAAGAAAATGATTGACAGGACGAGTCTATTTAAACAGCCCGGCCGAGCCATTGGTTACAGCGGCGGGCACCGCCCCGTCAGCCCGGCCCTACCTCGCCACCGCTGCTGGCTCTAAAGGTGGGCTGGGCTGAGGCTCGACTGTGCTGGACTGCGCTTAGCTGAGCTTGGCCGAGCCGTGATGGGGACGGGGAGCAGGAGCGATAGAGGCGAGAGGGCGGGAGGGCTCACCGCCTCCTTATCTCTGCCAATCCCGCGATCGGTGGGATTTGTGGCCCCCAGAAAACCGCACCACACACCGTGCCTTGCCCGACAGGCTTGTCTAATGGTGGCGGCTGCGTACGTTTTGACTCGTTCCTGAGACCCGCTCTGATTGTCCCAGGTTGAGCTCTTGGGATGCAACCCCCTCCTCTTCCCCTTTCCGAGATCCGGACTTGGAGGCAAGCTCGGGGCTAACAGGAGCCTGTCCTCCTCCTCCCGGGATATACAGGGGAGAGTATCACCCTGACTCCACAGCCCCCCGACCCCACGGGCTGATACTGGCTCCCAGGATGGGAGGAATCACCTTTTGCTGCCTTCTCAGCAGAGAAATGACGAGGTGAAGAAATGGCTCTAAACAAGCCTCTGCAGGGATTTCAGATCTCGGCAAGCAGGGAAAGAAAACAAAAGCATTCGGTTTTGTCCTGTTTGTGTGCTTGGAGGATTAGATGAGCTAAGAGTCACAGCCAGGGATTTTCTAAGCAACTTCCTCGGATAGCCACAGCAGGTATGGTGGAGATAAGAGCAACACAAGAGTCCTCCTCACTACCCTCCATATCTCCAGCCCCTTCCACAGTCAGATTCCCCCCCTCCAGGCAGGGCAGCCCCCTCAATACCTTACAGGTCACTGCGGGTCCTCTCAAGTGCTGAAGATTTTGGTTTTTCCAGGGGCCCAGATCCAGGGCTTGAATCTTGGGAGAGTTGGAGGCTTTTCACACCAATCTATCTGGCCAGGTGTCCTCTGCAAGCAGAGCATCCCGCTCCAAATTTTGCTTCTGGGGGCACTGTACCAGTGATAGGCTATCTATCTTAACAAGACAGGGGTCAACACAACTGTGTTTAACTGGCTGAGAGAAGTTGACTCTCACCAGTTGACAACTGGCCTTGAAGACATGGAACTTTTATTTACCTTGAGCTTTACAAGCACAGACTCACTACGGTTTGGGGTCTACAGCTTTGGTGGGCCACTGAAACCTTTGCTCTTGTAAACTGATGACACTAGACTGCACACACTGATGTGGGGACTAAACCATTACACAGTGCTCAAGCCCAGGCCACAGCAGCCTGCTTGTCTTCAACAGCCCCAAGGTAGTAGCCCCTGGCCCCTGCTAACACTGCTGACCCGAATAATCTCAGCATTGCCAGACCCAAGCTCAAAACCATGATGTGCACAGGCAATAAAAAGGAAGAATACAAATGAGATTGGTTTAAAAAGCACAAGGCTGAAATAAAGTATTAGACATGTTATTTTCCTTTGTTTGCCAGGTTTTTCAGCACTCAGGAGTTGTTTTCCAATTCCTCTCAATAACTGCAATTTCTAGCAGCTCACTTGCAGAAAATTAAAGCTGACATTCTCATGTCTGCAGGTGCTGAGACTTTTTTTTGGAGTTTCAGGACCATGATCAAACTGCATCAGGTGGCAAAGTGGGGCCTGTTCAGCTGCTTGATTTGAAGAATTTCGTCTTCGTTTCTCCAGTCTTTCAGTTCCATAGCCACCAGCAAGGAAGTGCCATTTCAAGCTTCACTTTCTCTGTCAGGTATGGGACAATTAGCTTGTTTTATTGTTCTACACAAGAGAGTCGTTGTAGGCTAAGAAAGTGATCCACAAAATATGCCCGGGGGCTCCCTGAAGATGCGCCCTGCTGATGGGGGCCTGCCTTCTGGGAACCTGATGAATGTCCCACCAGAACGTCCCTCCTTAGATGAGGAGTTCCCAGTCTGTGATCCCTGGAAGTCACTGCTTGTCTCCCGAGTCCACAGAAGAGAGGCAAAACCTTTGTCGTTTGGATTACAACATTGTACAAGAGTAGGAACACTTGGGGGGGGGGATAATAATGGGGTCGAAATGTTGGAAAGACTGCGTGCCCCACAGGTAACAACCGGGAACACGACTGCAGTGCAAAGGAGCACTGATTTATCTGCAGCTTTTGTGAAAGAAACAGGTTACTGTAGGAAAGAACCTTCTTCCTTTTTTTCTGTTTAACCTCCCCTGGCACAAGGGCCCGGGACTGAGCCCCTGGATGCTGTACAACTATATTGAAAACGACTAATTAAAGCCAAAGGGGCGGCAAGGGGGGGGGGGGGGGGGGGAGGGAGGGGGGCGGGAGCGGTGAATAATTTAAGCCACTGATGGAATCAAAAGAGAAAATGCGAGAGGAACGCTCCTCGCCTTGGTTTATCCTTCTATTCCTTCTCCTCCACACCTCTCCCCTTGCTCTCCGAGAGGGGAGACAGGCGCTGTACCCCCGCTGTACCCCCGCATCCGCGGTAGCTCCTCGCCTTAACGCGGGCTGTGCGCCCTCGAAAACGTTTGGGTCGTTAACGCGGGCAGCCACCCTCGAAAACGTTTGGGCCCCCTTGGGACAAATGATCAGGAAAGGGGATAAATTAAGGGGGGGGGGACGGGGGACGGGGGACGACCACGACACACACACGACACAGCAGAGCGGACCCGCGTGAGGGGAGGAAGCGGCTGCAGCATCGCAGCCCTTTTGGCTCCCCCCCTCCCCATCCAAGTGCAGTCTCGTCAATCCACCTTAAATCGCTGTGGCTGCAAAGGAGAAAAAAGGCTGTGTCTGCAGCGACCTTGCCATGATCTAAAGTGTTTTGTTTACAGTCAGGCCCCCCCGATGGCTGCAGCAAATCGTGAGAGAGGCAGGCGCCCGCCCGTAGTAGCAGCGAAGCGTGAAGAAAAAAAAAAATACAGGGGAAAAAAAAAACCAACCCAAAGCAACCAAACCCTAGAAAGTCCCGGAGTAAAGAACTGGAAAGATCAGAGCGCCACCGTCTTGCAAGAGAAGGGCACAGCAGCGGGGCGGAGGAGGGGAGGCAGGGGGGTGCGCGGCTTTGCGCGGTCGCGCAACGAGATTCGGGTGAGGAGATAAGCTTGGGGAGCGACCTCAGAGCTGCCGCCTCCAAAAGCCAGGTGTTATCTCGCTCTGTTGCCGTTTCTGCTGAAGATGCAGCCAGACGAAGATCGGAAGAAGATACTAGAGAAAGGAAGACAGCTACAGAAAAATACCCCCAAAGCCCAACCAAAACTTGGAGGAGTGAACCAGGAAGGAGGGAGGAGTGTTTATAGGGAGGGCTGTGCGAGGAATGTCCTGGCTCCTCCAGCAGGCTCTGAACACCCTGTCCCCTCTCTTCCCAGTACCCCGTGCCTCTCTCTTGTTTGGGCTTTTCCACTGGCAGAGCTGCTTGCTGTTTTTCTTTCCTCCAGAACCGCTTAGGCAAGCTTCCCGCCCACATTCTGGCCACCCTCCTTCCCCAGCACTTTATAAGGTTGTCAAGTGAACCAGCAAAGCACATCTGAACCGCACACATAAAGCATCAGGGTTGTTTGGGATTTTCAATATTCCCTCTAAAACTACCTGAAAGGAAGATGGAGTGACGAGGTGGCTGGTCTCTTTTCCCAAGTAACAAGTGTTAAGAGGAAATGCTGTCAAGCTGTGCTAGGGAAGATATTAGGAATATTAGGAATTAGGAAATGGATTATTAGGAAACATTTCTTCACTGAGAGGGTGCTCAGACATTGGAACAGGCTGCCCAGGGCAGTGGTGGAGTCACCATCCCTGGCAGTGTTCACAAACCATGTAGATGAGGCCCTCAGTGACATGGGTTAGTGGTGGACTTGGCAGTGCTGGGGTGATGGCTGGACATGGTAATGTTAAAAATCTTCTCCAACCCAGCTGATTCTGTGATTCTTGCAAACAGTGAGGAAACTATGAATAACGTCTGAGCTCCTCCATGGGCCGTGTCTGAGGATGAAGATGGCAGGGGCATGGCATGACTCTTTTGAAAGCCAGAGGCTTGAGGAATTTTGCTTCTCACCACCCTTGCTGTCACTGGCCTGATGCTGTTTCCCCATACCTCCAGTTTTCTGGGCAAAACGCTAATTTCCTCGAGAGATGTGCGTTGAGGCCGCTGTGAGATTCGAGGTGCAGGTCCTGAGAATTCACCTGTGTGCCCTGGGGGTGTTTGTAACGTGCTTAACAGGAGCCCTTCCCTTCTGGGCAGGATAAGGGCCCTGTGAGGTTCAGCAGCAGAGACCGCCAGGGAGAAAAGAGCCATTTTAGCTTAGGAAGGCGCTGGGACATCATCCCAGGACGGGAGCAATGCCGAGGGGGACCCGGAGCTGCCAGGGAGCTGCTGCTCGCAAGCCCCGCGCTGCAGGCAGCTGCACTCAGCGCGGGCAGAAGCCAGGCGAAGTTTGAGACCTTTAATTCATTTGATATAAACTCTAGAGGGAGCCTAAGGACAGAGATGAGGCCAGCGGCACGACCTGGCCTCTCTCCTGACAGCATCCCCCAGGCAGGGTCCCCGCTGTCACCGCAGCAGGCCTGCAGTTTCGGGGGGCTCTGCTCGCTGTTTCCCTTGCTGCAGATGGAGAGAAGTTTTGGGCCCTGTCACACACCTGCAAAAGCCTTGGATGGGACCAGTTCAGGGGATTTTGAGCACTTGAGAGGGTGCTGGCATGGGGTACAGCTTAGGGGTGTCCTTAATGGGATTTGGTTTAAAAATCAGAAATGCCTTCTCTGCGCTACTGCAGGGGGTTGGCCCATCTCACCGTGCTGTAGGGCAGGTTGTACAAACAGTTATGCCCATGGAAGACACAAGTTAAATTATTAGCGCTGGAAGTTACTCATTCTTTTCTCTCTGGAGCTGTTTAGTTGTCACCACCCTTTCCTTGACTTGCTAAAGGAGCAGTCCTTCCAAATGACCCTGATCTTATCTCAGGGAAGAACCTCATGTTATGGCTCAGACCACTTTCTGGTTTTCATTTTGCTTCAAGTGTAAAATGAGAGAGAGAAGTAGGTGAAGCTTCCATTTTCACACCAGGGATGGCAAGGAAGAGGATGTTCATATGCAGTCCCTAAAAATAAACACACACACTTATACTGAACTATCCCAGCAAACACTACTGTAGAGGTGAGGCTTTTATCAGTAAAAATAATTACTGGCCTAATATCCCCAAACAAAACACACCATATGAACAAAAGCATTTTCAGGTCAGTATACTCCATCTGTGTAAGACTTCCCATTTAATATATCTCATATCCCTTGCCATTTTGTTAGAGTAGCAATTTTTTGGCATAAGAAGCTTAACTGAAGTTTCTCATGGCAGCTAAACAGACCTTTTCCCTCTCCTCTCCTCTCCTCTCCTCTCCTCTCCTCTCCTCTCCTCTCCTCTCCTCTCCTCTCCTCTCCTCTCCTCTCCTCTCCTCCCCTCTTCTCTCTTCTTTTCCCCCCTGCCTTCCCCTCCAATCCTTTCCCCCCAGTCCCAGTGTAAACCACATAGGATACTCTCAAGTACAGATAAGTTGGGCAAAGTCCTCTAGCTCACTGTGTGGTTGAACTTTATGGCAAAACGAAGGTCCTTTGCCTCTGCAGTAGATGTACCGCAGGCTGAAGACAAGCCCTGTTCAGGGGGTGCGTGAGCTCCAGCTTCAGGAGTGCACCCCTGCACAGACCCCATAAAGCATCCAGCAGCACTTTGTCCCCTCCGCAGGGTATGGGGAGGATTAACTGCTTCTTGCTTGTAAAGTCTGCCCGGCACAGAAAGTGCAATGCAAGAGCTAAGTAGCAATAATAATGATGAACTGTTATTGTTACCTCGAGATTAACCAGCTTTCCAGCCACTTGCTCTGTGCCCTATGCCTTTAAGAAAGTTTCTCAACAGATGAATTACATTCAGTGGAAATGAGTTGTCCTGTTTTTGTATAAAGCCTGAAGTGAACCTTTCTGGGAAGGGGATGATATTTTATAGCAATGTTTTCTCAAGTACAATTCTTTAGGTTCCCAAGTGATGACACATTGTACAGCAACGCTGTTGGCACAAGGAGCTCAGCTGTGAGAAGGGACACTGGCCCCGTTTCTTAAAGCCATTCATTAAGTAAAAAACACCCTATGTCATATGTTATGTTCATCTGAAATGTTTAAAGGTTTTAGTGCACAAAATTATATCGTGCCTGGATATTTTTTTCCTTTCTTTTCCAGGATGCAGCACTAAACTCTAACTCAGTTACTGAACACTGTTGGAAGGGCTGGTTATTTTTCAGTAGTGTTGTGTTTTGTTTTCATTTGGTAGGATCCCAACTTTATGCAATAGGCTTTTTCAGAAACACAGAACTATGTAAATGTGATGCTTACAACTGACCACAAAGAGGCCACTCACCAAAAAAATAACCCAACATAAAAACATCTGCATCTGTGAGAATTTTGGGCATTCTGGGTGCCATTTACATGAGAATCTAGCCCAGCCTTTATTATTATTATTATTATTATTATTATTATTATTATTATTATTTCTTTAATTCCCCAATAAGCTATATTAATTGCCTTAGGATCAAGAGGTCTACAAACATCTTCCTTATGTAAGCAGGGGAACTGGTCTGGCTACTTTCTAAATCCTTTAAGGGAGATGACCCATCTCATGTAGCAAAATGATGGCATTACGTAGCTGATTCCTATGAGGGCCTGGGACCTGAGTTCTGATTACGGCTTCCTTGAGTCATGTTATGCACATTGCTGCAACTCTTGGCACCTACATTTCTCCCTTCACCCTTTTCCTAATCTGTTTAGGCTTCATGCTGTTGGAAACACTTTGACCAGTACCAGGTACAATGTGGCTTCAATCTCAGGCAAGGTCTCTAGGTGCTAGGGTGATTGCAACTATAACGGTACCCATCACATTTCAAGCTTACTACATGTTGTTTGTGTTAATCAACCCAGTAAGGGAATTGTACAGCTCCAGGATGCAAAAGCCAGGGCATTAACCTACAGCAATGTGATATTTGAGAGAAAATTTGGAAATGGATTCTGCAAGCCTCTGGTAACAAGAAAATCATTATGAGGTAGGTGACAGACGCTTCAAGACAAAAGAAACCTTGTCATCCAAGTGACCCCACACTGAAACTAAACACAGTCTTTTGGGGGGTGTAGCACTTAGGAAAAAATACCCAAATAACACAAGAACTGTCTTTAAGTTGATCTTCTCATAAGCAGCCTGCATATGAGGTTCATAAAGATCCCTCCCCCCTTTTCTCATCTTTCTAAGAACTGGCAGCCCAGTTGCCAGTAGCCAGATTTACAACTCCTTGCTCCTCACCAGAAGTGCTCTACCACCAGTGGTGGCCCTGCTAGGGCAAGAGCCTGCTGAACCCAACTATGGGGTGCCATCAGTGCTCCTAACCCCGTCCAAAGCTGATCTAAACCAGCCATGCCTAAAATAGTAGAGTAAGCTGGCAAGCCAAAGGGCAAAAATTGTGTCACTGAAGCCAGTCTCCTGCAAAATTCAATGGGGCCATGATTTCAGCTGCTCATGAGAAAGACAGAAAAAGAGAGCCCTTGTATTTACCAGCATGTGTTCTGGGTTTCCCTCATAAGGAGCTAAACATTTCTTGGAGCAAAAGCTTAATCTGCTCTGGGTTACTCCCTTTGTTCTGACAGCCAGCAGCTAAACTGGGACACCTATTTGAAGGCAAGCACCTGAAAGCATTACTTTAAAGGATTTGACACTTTGTTATCTCTATCTGAAAGGCTTTTGGAGAACAACTTTCACTCAAAACAGTTTGCAAAGGACAAAGTTAGCGCTGCAATTCTCGTAGTTTACACTTAACATCTTACTTGAATGGCAATGACAAAACATAGCTGGTACTATGAGAGGCCTAGTGTCCTGGGTTCGGCAGTAGCAGTCATGTTTCTCCTTCTTGGTAGCTGGTGCAGTGCAGTGTTTTGACTTTCGGCCTGGTAACAGAGCTGATAACAATGATGTTTTGGTTTGGCCAAGGACTTTGTGAGCCTCATGCTCTGCCAGGGAGGAGGGGAAGGCGGGAGGAAGCAGAGACAGGACACCTGACCCGAACTGACCAAAGAGGTATTCCATACCACAGCACGTCATGCCCAGGAGGTAACTGGGAGTTAGCCGGAAGGACTGGGGGACGGCAGGGTTGGAGGAGGTATCGGTCGGAGCTTGGTCGGGCTTGGGGGGCGAGTTATTGGTCAGCTGGTGGTGAGGTGTTGTATTCTCTTCCCTTGTTATTTCCTTTATCATTATTATCATTGGTGGTAGCAATAGTGGTGTGTGTTATACCTTAGTTACTAAACTGTTCTTATCTCAACCTGTGGGAATTGCATTCTTTTCGATTCTCCTCTCCGTCCCTCCGGGAGTAGGGGGAGGGAAAGAAGGGGGGGAAGTGAGCGAATGAATTACCTGACTGGGTTTAAACCACGACACCTAGGCAATTCTTTTCTGCTATTGCCCCTCCACCCCAAGTCAGCAACAAACAGGTGGGAAATCACAGAGGCAGCAATAACAATAACTGACTCAATAACTGCTCTTCAGATCTCTATAACAAAGTCCTAAAATAAATTCTACTCCTGGTGGTCTCCATTACTCACAAGCCATGTGCAACCTCTCAGAAATGCTTTGCCCTTCTCAAACAATGAAAACTGCCAAAAAATAACCCAACCTCTCATCTGGCCTTGTGAGTGTCTGAACACCTTTTGAGCCTACAGCAACTGTCATTTCAATTAGCCTTAAGAACCCGAGAGCAGACAAAACTTCTCAGGCCAGTGTGGAGCCCTTTCTAACGTGCTCCTTGCTAGTTGTCAGAGCAAACTATTAGACCTTGCTAGACCCTTCCTTCAGGTTGCCTCATTCTGCTGTGTTTGGTTTGCTCAGCCCCAGAGTTAGAAACAAAAACCCCAACTCTCAGCACTCAGCAATCAAAAGAGGCTAGTCAGCCACCCACCAGGCCAAATTAAGCCTGCTGAGAACTCAGGGCCAACTCCTCAAAGGCATGCAGGTGCCTAAATACCTTTGAAGACCTGTTTCTAATGCTCTAGAAGATGGTTGGCAATAAGCTTTCTCATGGTGCCTAATGGGAAAGTGGAGGTTGGGCTCTAATGAGTACATGGCTGTGAGGGTGCGAGGTCGCTTCGGGGTTTTAATAATGCTGAGGTTTCCAAAGAATAAGTGTTGGGGTTCTTTGTAATGTCTCCTGCTTTTTGAGACTTCCACCTTATCCACAGGTACCAGGAAGTCATTCTACTGGGAAGGTTCAAAACTCCCTGAAGAAGCAGTAGCACAGCTTCAGGAACATGAGCTTTAAGACAAAAACTAATTGACACAGAAAAAGAGTGAGAAGTGCTCACACTGGCAACTGAGGTTCATTTTGGCTACACACGTGAAGGGTTGAATCCAGCTCTGAACATATGATCTGAACAACCATTTGGGAAAGACTTTACAAACCGACTAGCTTTGGTTCAAAGTGAATGACTTCAGCACCAGGGCACCTCAACTTCATTACAATCCTGCAGGCTTCCAAGGTCATATTCTCTAATAATTACAGCAAGATCATGTAGCTACACCATTTTTCTGCTTGCAAAAACTGTTTTAACTGAATTGATTTTAGGTTGGTACTATCCCTTCTGCGGATGCTCCTAAAAACGTCTTACAATGGTAATTTATATCTTCTTATAAATTGTTTATTTGGCAAGGGTGGTTTGGTGGAATCTTTCAGTGAGAACAGCAGCTCTCTTGTCTCCCTGCAAATTATTGGTAGAGAAAGCTGATGATAATGCTAATAAACTGTATTTCTTTTGTACATTCAAATACGAGGCATCTGTAGCTTGGGCCCCAGGGGCTTCTAACTTCTGAACAGTTTTACAAAGTTTGTATTTAATTAATAAGTAATTTGATTCTTTTCCTTTTCAGCTTCTAACAAGCAATAACAGCCTATACTTCAGAAAGTCAAGTACGATGCTTTCTTTTCCCCAGTAAGCACTTAGCTCTAGGCCTGGAAAAGTGCCAGAGCACACGGGGACACTGCTCCACAGTAACATTTTGTACCTTATTAAAAAAAAAAATAACAACAGCCACAACAGCTGACTCTCACATGAAATCAAATGTCTGTCTTCTCCTCCTTCCCTTAGCACACAAATATGCATTTATTCATTACACTTTCTGTGGAGAAGCCTGCACACACACGCATTCACACTGGGTTTTTCTGCTGAACCAATGATGTGTTAAGATGTCTTGTGTTGTTTTTATGAATTTAGTTTGGCTTTCATTAAGCTACTATGAAAGATTCCCCCAACTCAGGGTCTCTGGGGCAAGGGGCTTCTGAGTAATTGGTTGTTCGCATTACTTCAGTTTGGGGGTGCTTCTCTTAAAAAAACTTGCAGAAACCCATCGCTTTTAAGGTGTCTCATATTGGGCATCTTAAAGCTGAGAGACTGCGAAGTCACTCTGGAAAATATTGGCCTGAAAGACTTTACCCATCTGTGCAAATACACCACAAGCCGATTAAACCAGCAGACTTCACAATTATTTGCAGATTTCCACAATCTAACAGCAGCAAGCAGATGCAGCCTATATTGCATAAGTGAGTTGTCACAAGCCAGCGTGCCCCGTAGCCTGACAGAGCTCCCCAAAAACCTGGAGAAGTGGACATCAAGGTGTGGTCTGAAGATGGGCGTACACTGCTCCTCAGCTTCAGGGGAGCTGCAAAGGGATGGTCTCCAGCCCCAGAAGCCCCATGACACACAGCTGAGCTCCTGACCCTGGTAGGGCATGGTTAAACATTACAATTTGTTGCGCGATCCCCTTCACAGCTCCTCTACAATGTCACAAAGCCAGTTTAAGAGGTTTCCACCCTTTGCCACCCTTGACCACTGGTTCCCACCTCAACTTTAAGCAAGGTATTCAAAATGAAACTGAAAAGATAGAAAAAAAAAAAAAATGAAAAGATTGTGAGGGAGGAATAATCCACATGATTTTGCATGTCTGCTGCAAACAGTTGCACTTTCTTGACCGCAGATGAGGGAAATGGAGGCCAAAATGTGTCCTTTCCTAGGGAAGGAAAGAAGATACTAAAGTCAGGAGTAGCCCCAGGACTATTTCCCTAACCCAGCATACAGCTGCACAAATGTGATAGTGAAGGGGAGCAAGGGCTTGGAGATGAGGGAAGAGGGAAGGTGAGCAGGATGATTCCTGTGCCACCTCCCCATCAGAGTGTTTATAGGGGTCTGACTTCTGCTATGGGACAGTCTGAGGTACTCAAAGGCTCAAAAGTACTTGAAGTACTTCGAGTACTCAAAGATACTTAAAATTCAAAGGAGGAGGACAGTTTTCCCCTAACAGCTGATCTGAAACAAATCACATTAGTTCAAGCTTCAGGCTAACTTCTTAAAAACTAGGCCTAAATTATTTAAAAAAAACCCACAAAACTCTCAGGATCTGCTTCAATGTTATGTTCTCTCCTCCATCACCATTTCCATCTGCGCATTCTCCCTCTGATTTCACCTTCCCCTCTGTGGAGTGGATGCTGCTGTTCGGTATCCGTGATTTCAGCTCACTGAAGTGCCCCAGGTTAAATTAGAAAAGGAGGGATAGAGGTTTTTTAACAGTCAGTGTAGCTCCCAGGTCTGGTTCACAGCACAGTCTGTGCTGTGTTGGCAGGACCCACAGGTTAATAGAGGGTAGAACAGGGGAAGACACTGACTCTTTCGGCCAGTGTGGCATCCACATGTAGCACTAAGTGCCCAGCCATGCAGGGGACTCTCAGTCCTTGGCTGGCCTCAATGGGTCCCTGACCCACAGACCATGCTGCTGGGTACTGTGGAGGGCAGTGGGATCCTAAAACCTTGCAGCTCATGTTCCACAAATGAGGTGTTTCCACTAGATGCGAGGTTGCTGGATCCTACTGCCCCCCCAAGATGTGGGTGGATATGTAAGGAGGAGGTCCTCTGGAGCCAGCAGTCTGAGCAAGGGTCCAACTAGGAAGTTAATGGGAAAGCCTGAGATGACAAGTTCTGGCCTGAGAGCCGCTGCTCTCAAGGCCTGCCTTAGTCATCACTAGCCATGGCTGCTGCAGGCTCTGCTGGAAACCACAGAACTGCAACAAACACCAAGCTCTGCACAAGCCTCAAAACCTGCTGGAGGAAGAGATGAGGGAGATAAAACCTCGCTATGTAGTAGTAGCCAGTCTGTTTGGGATACCCAGCTCAACTGAGTGAGGCTGTGCCATTTCGGTTCTGGGCTGCAGGGGAGATAGATGCTTATTTCATGTCACAACCCACAGCCATGAAGGTGCCCTAACTTTTCCTTCCCAGAAACAAGGAGGAATCAATTCTCTCAAATAATGGCTGCATTGTCTCCCATAGTATGGAGCTCATACAGCACCCTCATTTCATATCCCACCTGCACCCCACCCAATAAGCTCTGCTGGATCACCCAGCCTGGGGCTTCCTCATTGTCTTTTGGGGTCGT